TAATAATTTTCCTAATCTAGGAAGAGTGCAGTTGTTTTATTTGCAAACAGTGACTATTTCAGTCATACACAAGACACAGGGCATGGTAGATGTTGCCATTGGTTGCAAAAGGCCTTTGTCCTTAATGATGAAACTTTTCCTAGCCTGCCCTCTCTGAAGCCTGGCAGAAATTTGGAAGGAGCTCTCTCAGAGTGAAATATCAAAATAAATGCTGGAACCTATACAGACGCCCTAACTTTAAGCTTCCCAACTTCAAAATTTCCATGGACCCTAGCAGGTTGAAAGGATATTGTGTGCTTTGGGGGTGGAGACATTTTGCAGCATCTGAAAAAGTTTGATTTCCATCTCTTTTTTCTGTTTGTGAGTATTAGGAGAGGTATTTATTTTTTGGTTCTGGGGATTGATTCCAGGGATGCTTTATCATTGGGCTACATTCCCAGCCCTTTTTGCTTTTATTTTTGAGACAGGGTCTCACTAAGTTGCTTAAGGCCTTGCTAAATTGCAAAGGCTGGCTTTGAGCTTATCATCCTCCTGCTTCAACTTCTGTTGCTGGGATTACAGGTGTGTGTCACTGCATCTGGATAGGAGAGGTATTTAACATCTTCACATTCTTATTTCTTGCAGTCCCTAATTCTTAAAATGTCTTTTTGGGGTGACCTCTTTTAATCCTTGAAGGAAATTTAGCTAATGGAACAAATGTTTCTGAACTCTTTAATCAGCATAGACTCGGATGCTTTTTTTTCTTTTTTTTAATCATTCGCTGGGCTTTTTTTAAAATTACTTTTTAAATTGTAGATGGACTCAATACCTTTATTTATTTATGTATTTAGTGCTGAGGATTGAACCCAGTACCTCACACATGCCAGGCGAGCACTCTGCCACTGAGCCACAACCCCAACCCTTATGCTCTTTTTTTTTTTTTTTCCTATTACTGACCCTGATCCATCCAAGTTCATCTTAGCAATGCTTTTCTGGAACAAACCTTTCTTAAGCCATGATGCTTTTTAGCTATTATGCTTATTGTTTTATAATTTGCTCCTAATTTAGGGGAAAAAAAAATTAAGTCTGGGGGAAGATTTCTTATAGGCCAGCTAGTTAGGCGTTAATGGCTTCCAGCCCATGTCAAATACATTGAGTGGGTGATATTTTTAAGTTCAGGCTTCTTAATTCAAGGTTTTATGTTTTTAATTATGTATGTGTAAATGCCAGTCTGCTTGCTGCTTGGGTCTTGTTTTTCTTGGGAATATGAAATATAGAGCATATAGAAAGTGCCATGGAGTAAGATTTAACTCTTCAGTTGTAAATTCTTCAACCCACGATTTACTTGGGGGGAATAACAGCCCAGTTGGAATAACAAATGTACTGTTCACTGAGGAAGCATCTTTATTAGAAAGAAGTGGAAAAAATGAACCTGAAGCAGTTAGAAAGGGATCATTAGAGGCAATATGTTGTGGCAGAAAACATAGTGGACTGGAACAGAGGGGTATTACTTTTCTGTTTTTTGGTGTTTTTTTTTTTTGACACAATACCTTTATTTATTTGTTTATTTTTATGTGGTACTGGGGATCGAACCCAGTACCTCACACATGCTAGTCAAGCACTCTACCATTGAGCTCCAACCCCAGCCCCAGAGGGATATTTCTAAACATGACTTTATTACTGTCCTTCCTGGGGGGCTCTTTTGTCCCTTCATCTATAAAATGAGGAGGTTAGACTAAGATATTCACTAATATGTTCTGAGTTTATGCAAACAAACCATAAGTTTTTCTAAATTACAAATGCTTTGCTTAAGTAATTTTAGTAAAATTCTGTTTAAGTAATAACAGCGTTTCACCATAATGCCACTAAAACAAAGATATAGCATCTTGTTTGTAAATTAGGTACTGAAGGTTTTGACAACTTGGGGACTAGTTGACCAAAGGGAGGAAGCCCTTTATAAGATTTCATTTGTGTTGAGAACTAGGTCCCTTGGTGAGATTTTCTTAGACACACTAAGTGCCCCTGATAAGTACTTCAACAAGGAGTGAGAGATTGTTCTTTTATTCCAAATAGTTCCACTTTTGGCTTTATTGCATTTTTGGAATTCCAGACTAAGTTTTTGTGTGGGGTGAGGAAAGTTTGTGGCTTGAAAAAGTTTTGGCAGTTATTAGTTAGGTGCTGTAGAAAGGGGACCTTTCACTTCACTAGTGTTTCACTTTCTGTGGTTAATCCAGCTCACTCTTTTCCGAGTTTATAGAATTGTTTTTTTATGTAACATCTTGTGTATTTATAGTTAAGAGTATAAAGACTATCTGTCTCACTTTGGAAGAACTGAGGATAGACTGAAGAAGTCTCAAAAAACTCACTAAAAAACAATGTTGGAGATTTCCAAATAGCAGGTACCAACATGAAAGACCTGGCTTTGGAGAACTGTGAAGTTTTTATCCTGAAGCAGGATAGAACTTTGGTGAGGAGAAAGTGAAATAGAATCTGAGAGGCAGTTTTGAAAGCAGGAGTTCCTTTCCACAGGACTCATCCTTCTGCATGTCCACTTTCCTAGGGAGTGTCTTCTTTGGACTCCAAATTTGAATGAATGCTGTTACCAGAAGTCTGTTTTTACAGTCTTGAACTAGGTCATAGAATATCTATCTGTTAATTAATAGAAAATGCAAGTGGGAAGAACACATAAAGGTTTTATAGGGTAGATTATTCTGCCTCCAATTCTTATTTGTGGCTTGCTCTGTATAAAATTAAGTGTCATGTTTTAAAACTTACATGTAAAGCAGTGGGGAAAAGAATTTAATTTTTAAAGCCTATTATTCATTCACCTGCTGCAGTCTGGTCCACGATGTTTCTGTGATGTCAGCTTCTTTGAACCACTTGTGTATATGAGGTCTAATAAAATAGATTGCAGTCAGTTTTTATTATAGTTTCCATTTTTAGTCACTTGGAACTATTAAGAAAGATTCTTAGGCAGTCAGAAAAGTTCATCCCTGGGTAAAAACTCTCCAGTTTGATCTATGAGAGAAGATCCTAGATCATTTAAGACCTAATTTATTTCAAGGGTAGGGATCCATTGATTAATACCATGATAAGGCAATAACAACCCTAGCACATATACACTAAAAATTTAAAAATTATATAATCACAGATCATAGTTCTCAATCTGATACAGAAAATGCAAAGGTATTATAATATTTAACATCCACTGCCCCCTTTTCTCCAGCACCAGGGAGAGCACCTGCAGAGAGTATGTGCATTCTTAAGGGCTTATATCACTTAGTCATTGTCCATGTCATACAGACCTTCTTTTGCATTGATGTTGTTATAGCAGTGTTACAAAAGCTATGTTGAAGGTATCAAACTTCTTTCAATTTTTAAGTGGCTAATTAAAAATGACTTCATCTCTTTTCCCCCTTCTTCGATCTTTCTATTCGTCAGTTTCTTTGCTTAGGTTTTCCCACTTTGATTTCTTTGCTTACAGACTATTATGTTAACAGAGCATTAGATCGAGAACAAGAAGATTGGAAACCTAGAGCTGTGGTTCATTCCTGTAATCCCATTGACTCCAGGGACTGAGATAGGAGAATTTCAAATTTGAGGGCAGGGCAGTCTCAGCAACTTCGCAAGACTCCCCCCTCAAAAGCGAAAAAGGGCTGGGGATGTAGCTCAGTACTATAGTGCTCTTGGGTTCTATCCCAAGTTAAAAAAAAAAAAATGGTGAAGGATAGAGTCCTTTCCTGTCCTGTAGGTATACAGCTGTGTCACTTATTCATAGAAGATGGTACTCAATTAAATAACGATTGCCATCTCTTTCAGACCCAAAAATCTCTCCTGGCCTTTCTCCTTTTGTCTATAGTTCTACCTCTTCTCTATCTCAGCTAGTTATAATATGTATAATTGCTTAAAAAGCTGGGGTTGTAGCTCAGTGGTACAGCACTTGCCTGGAATGTACAAGGCTCTGGGTTCAATCCCCAGCACCTCAAAACAAAGCCTTTATAATATAAACCCTGTTGTGAGGAAACATCAATAAATGTAGTTGCTGGCAACGTTTAGAGTATCCAGAAATTCTTATTTTGGTAGTTTCTCACTTTGTTTGGCTTTTTTTTTTTTTTTTTTTTTTTGGCCTTAGTCAAATATAACCTACAGTTATCTTTTATTTGGTTTGCAGTTGTTGTAAAATAAAACAGTAATATATTTTCACCCTCAGATAGTAAAAACGTACTTGATAGTATCCAAAATTAGTAAGGATGTAGGGAAATGATTATTTTTATACATTGTTATAGGAATATAATTGGTACACCTTTTATGGAAGGCAGTATGTATAAATTGACTGTGATTTCAGAAGTCTTTAAAGAAACTCATATATAAATTTTAAGAGGTATAACCAAGGATGTTCATTGCTGTATTGTTGGTAATAGTAAAAATTCAGGGAGATTCTGTATTTCCATTAAGAGGAATTGTTAAATAAGATATAATGTATAACTCCATATCTTACAGATTGAAAAAATAATACCAAGAATGATCCTGATCTGTGTGCACTAAGATATTTTAAGGAGAAAAAGCAAGACACAGGTGCCATATGTTCACTGGAATCCGTTTATATAAAAACTACATAATTAATCTATATACATAAATGTATATAACTGTATAGAAAAATAGGTGAGGATACATAGCAAACTGTTAGCATTAATTGAGGAGAGAAGAGGAATTGCCTTTTTTTGCTATATATACTTATGTGTTAAATATTAAAGAAGTAGTCATATATTACTAGTATAAAAATGTACAAAACCAAAAGCAAGAACGGATAAAGAATTCATGAATAATGAAAAAGGCAAAAATATTAGCATAAAATTTATCAAAGGATTTAGGGAAACATTGTTTAGATAAAATTTACAAAACTTCAGGATCAGATAGAAACCATAGTTTGGCCAGGGCTGCCAAGCACTTTATAGCAATAACTATACCCTTCCATTCTTTGTATGTCCTCCTTATTCTTCTTACTTGTTTGTGCTTTACAGGTAACTCGGGACCAGATGAAGGTGTTTATACAACAAGAATTTAAGAAAGTTCAGAAAGTGATTGCTGATGAGGAACAGAAGGCACTTCATCTAGTGGATATCCAGGAGGCAATGGCCACAGCTCATGTAACTGAGATACTGGCAGACATTCAGTCCCATATGGATAGGCTGATGACTCAAATGGCCCAGGCCAAGGAACAACTTGATACCTCTAATGAATCAGCTGAGCCAAAGGCAGAGGTAAATAAAAATGCCCATGATTACTACTAGCAAGAGAACTAGGAGGAATCTGATCACTATGTTCATTAACTCTGGAAGTATCCCCTTGTTGCCCCTGAACACAAATGAAATAATAGCTTGGATAAGGTGTACATGTTTTAACCAATGTGTAAACTAGTGTGGAAATACTCACCACTAGCGCTTGTACCCAGTGGCTGGGTTTGGCAAAGAATTTTTATCCACCATGACTTAAAGAATTACCAGCAGTGGGGCAATTAACAATCCCAGTTAAGGAGAAAAGCCAGAAATCAGAACCAGAGAAAGGATCAGTGACCCATCCCAAGTTGTGAAATGAGCCTATAAATAAAGTCCCTGTAGAGATGAGAACTTGGTTATAAATGAGAGCAAGTTAGGAAGAAGAGCATGAAGTAGGCCAGAATGAAAGATTTGGACTCACTCTGAGAATAAGTGAAAGAGTGCTTTAAGGTGGATCTTATATGGAATCAGCTGTATACATTGGGGTCATAAATGCTGGGTTGAGTGGCAGCATGGATCTGGCATTGTGGCTCATGCTTGTAGTCTCAGATACTCAGGATACTGAGGTAGGAGGATCACTTAAGCCCAGGCATTCAAGACAACCTGGGTAACTTAGTGAGACCTTGTCTGAAAATTAGGTGACACACACACACACACACACACACACAAAAAAAATGCTGGGCATGAGGGTGCATGCCTGTGATACCAGTGACTTGGGATATTGAAGCAGGAGGATCATAAGGTTGAGGCTAGCCTTAACCACTTGATGAGACCTTCAGCAGCTTGGGATGTAGCTCAGTGAGTACATCCCTGGGTTCATTCCCCAGTACCCTGTCCCCACAAAAAAAAAAAAAAAAAAAAAAAAAGAAAGAAAATTTTTTAAAAAATGTGGATGAAAGACACAAGGTAAATTTGAATCACCAAACATACTGTATCCATTTATTTTGTAATAGGGTTAAAATGGTCTTAGGCATATTAAGCATTTAGGAACTGTTTTTAGAATATTTCAAGGCAATTTTTAAAAAAAAACAAAGTTTATATTTCAGCCTCTAGGGAAAAGCTAGTGTTCTTCAGATTTCATAGTGTTAAGGTGAAGCTTTGGGTCAAATATATACCTGATAGATTGAGGGTAGCTTCTTCCAGAAGAAGAAGACCTAGAAGAGTCCTGTGGGCATTCCAGGACTGCTGCTGACTCAGTGAGCTCAGCCTTTACTGTAAGTTTTGCGGTTTTTTGTTTGTTTGTTTTGAGAGAGAGAGAATTTTTTTTTTTTTTTTAATATTTACTTTTTAGTTTTCGGCGGACACAACATCTTTGTTTGTATGTGGTGCTGAGGATCGAACCCGGGCCGCACACATGCCAGGCGAGCGCGCTACCGCTTGAGCCACATCCCCAGCCCAATGAGTTTTGCGTTTGTGCAAGAGAACTTGGCCTCAAAATAAACCAGTGAATGGAAGAGTTAAGATGTAATCCAGGTTGCAGGTATTATCCAACCTGACAGAAAATAGGAGAGACAATTGGACCATTATTTGGTCACCTATCCAAGGCTCTTGATTAATTTTCATCAGTGTATGAAAAGGGTATTTCTTCTTATTTTAATTTCATCCTCCCTAGAATTAAGAAAGCATGTCACTAAATAAATTTCTAGATAGACAAGAGAGTACTTTATAGTCATCATTTCCTTTAACTCTACTATCAGCATTTATTAACTCCATTTGACAGATGGTATATTGAGATGCAGAGAACTGTGGAGAGTCTGACCCAGTGTCATCTAGTGAGTAAAAAATAGAGCCAGGATTCAGTTAAGTTTGTCCTATTCCAGCACCTGTGCTTTCTCCCTAGAATGTTTTGGATGCTAGGTGTGTTTTTGTTGCTATGATGAAAATACCTGGCCAGAACAGCTTAGAGGAGAAAAAGGTTATTTTGAGCTTATAGTTCAGAGATTCATTTCATGAGCAGCTGACTCTATCACTTTGTGTGAGGCAAAGCACCTTGGCAAAAGGCATGGTGGAGAAAAGCTGCTCACCTCATAGTATCCAGGAAACAGAGACTCCAGTGATCCACTTTCTTTAGCCATGTTCCACCTGCCTACAGTTATTACCCAGTACAGTAGCCCTTTCAAATTACTAATCCACTGATTAGGTTATGGCTCTCATGATTTAATCCATTTACCTCCTGCATTAACACAGGGGGACACCTCATATCCCAGCCATATGATTCTGCCCTAGCATCCAAAATCTCATGTACATCTCAGTGCAAAACAAGATACCCTATATTAATGAGTTGGTGGTGCTTCTTTTCTTCAAGAGTCTATATCCATAAGTCCCTATAATCTTAACAGTTCCAGCCTTCAAGATTCCTTCTCCAAGAGTTCCCATGGTCTTAACAGCTCATGCCTTGCCCAAAAATCCAAGTCCAAAGTGTCTTCTGAGACTCAAGGCAAATTCTTGGCTTTGAGCCCCTATAAAGATCAAAAGCAAGTTACATGTCAGAATGAACCCAACTTCTAAGTATAACTACAAAGCTCTAATTTAAAAAGGAAAAAAAAAAAGCAAGTTACATGCACCTAGTATGTAATGTCACAGAATAAACACTAAGCATCCCATTTATATCTGTGGAAAAACTAGAATTCAGTGTTCTTGCATGCCTAAGACACTGTACCATGTAGAAGTGATCATTTTGTATCTTAATAAATAAAAAAGTTCAACCAGATTTAACTTAAGAGATCAATAGCTTATCATTGTCTCAAATTGGACCCTTATATTTATTCTGTGTGTTGATTAGATCGTTCCTTCAAAATTAAAGATTGGATTTTGTGACATCCCTTTCACTTAGTTTCATTTCAAATAACGAATTTAGCCCATCTCATCATCATCTGTCCTTTAAGAACCTCAACTGACAGAATTACTCTTAGGAATGCAGGAGCTGATAAGACTTTAAAGATCAGGCTGTGACAAAATAAGCTATTAAAAATAAGAAGTAGCATTCAGCTGGCTAGAGCTGTTAGATAATCTAATAGCTTCTTGTTCCAATAAATCTGATAACTTACTGGTTAGAGCAAATATCTAGTACCTTTATTCAACAGAGAAATTCTTTTCTTCCCTTTGCATAGTGTGGTATTTAAAAAAAATAATCATCTGCATTTTGAATTTAACCAAAAGATTCTTCTCAACATTTTGTTCTTCTCCAACATACAGCAAAGTTTAAAGGATTTTATGGATTACACCCATATACCAACAATCTAGATTCTAATCCATTAACATTTTGCCAATCTTGGTTCATTGCATTTCTAGCCAACTTTCAACCTTCCACTCATCAGTCCTTTTTATTTTTAGTTGTAAAGCAAAATAGAACTTTGGTTCTGAAGAACTATGAACACATTCCATTTTATTTCTTATACTAATTATAGCAAAAGTCCTTGTCAAAAGTCACCTATCAGAAGACTTTCAAGGTGGAGAAAGATGGCATAATGACTGGGAAACTTGGGATTCAAGGAATGGCAAGGCAGTGAATTACTTTGGGGTTTTCCTTGATTCTTATGTGTCCTGTCCTGAGTACTCCACAAACTGGAAGCATTAATGCTAAAGACAGAAAGCAAATTCCCAAGAAAAGCTAGCTCTCTCTAACCAAAGGACTGGGAAAAGGGAGGTCTAGTTGTAGAGAAACACTTTCGATCATACGTGCTTATTCTGGAGATATTATGGGCATTTTTGTCTTTTGTACAGTTTTTAAAAGAGTACTGAACTACAATGAAATGATACTAGAAAAAAGTTGTTTCAGATGGGAGCATCATTTAAAATGATATATGTATAGCTTAAGCATTTATTTTAAACTATGTACACTTTTAAAATTCTGAGTCAAGGCATATTTTTGAAAATATGATTTTGCTAATTGGAGTTAATTGTAATGTTTCTGGTATAAATCACATCTATACTGTACCATCTAAAATGTTCGATTTTACACTCTTTATACTGGAAGGTATAATGTTGAAAGCAAGCTGAATGCAAAATCAGGTTTTTAAAAATTATTCTTGCATTTTGCATTCATCATCTACAATCAGAACTGCCACTAATTTTTTTTCAAGAGAGAGAGAGAGAGAGAGAGAGAATTTTTTAATATTTATTTTTTAAATTTTTCGGCGGGCACAACATCTTTGTTTGTATGTGGTGCTGAGGATCGAACCCGGGCCGCACGCATGCCAGGCGAGCGCGCTACCGCTTGAGCCACATCCCCAGCCCAGAACTGCCACTACTTTTTAATTCCTCTATTGAAGCATTCAAATTTTCATGAAAACAACTTGTAGAAGCAACAGTTGTCACTCTTGTACTCATTGTTTTGTTAATTAATTGTGTCATTATAATTACTAGCTCAGCTGAATAAGCAGGTTTGGGATTAAGTTTGTTTGCCTCTGTGAGGTAGAAATGGAAGGTTACATTAGAGGGTGGCCTGCCGACCAAGAGCATTGAGGATGTTTTAAGAAGGAATTTGGGAACATGGCTTAATATAACAAGTCCTTTAAATGGAAGTTAAAACAGATTATCATTCCTAATATTTTTGAAACCAGAGTAAACTCATAATAGCAGTAGAAATTAATCTTAAATCCAACAGTTTCTTGCCCCTTCTCCTTTTCCTGAGTAAATATTTATTATGTGTCTTGTTCTGTATTAGATGCAGTGAATTCTCACGGAGTTGACATCCAAAGAGGGAAACACTTTATGATGCTGTCACTGTTGGTTTTCTTTTCTAAGTACTAACCTAGAGGATGAACTATGCAGATATGAAGGACAGAGGAGGATTATGTGACTCAAGCGATTAGTGAAGAAGTTTCTGAGTAAGAATTGATCTTACAGGATGGCTAGGATAACTAGACTTTCAGAACAGAGATGTACATTTTGAATAGCAGGAACAACATGTGCTCATCTTTGCTAGCAAGTTAGCAGGCATTTGAATGTCTGCTGCCCTATTCAAAATGGCCCTATATTTCATGTGTGTGTGTGTTCTTTCACTCATTTATCCATCCCTTCATTGGTAAAAAAAATCTCATTCTGGCCTTCCTCATGCTTTGCAATAGTGAACATTATTTCTGAAAAGAAGTATGCATCTATAAGCAGAAGAAATGAATGAACCAACAACTAGATATTATTATGTCCTATGTCCTCTGTTCTTTCCCACTAATTCAGAGAAAGTACAATAACAGCCACCATTTGTTGAATACTTAAAATGTTGCAGTCTCATATTTATAGTTTTACACAGGTTTTCTCATTTTTTTTAATCTATATACTGACCCTTGGTAAGAGTTAGAATCTCCATGTGCAGATGAGGAAAGCATAAGTTAAGTAAATTGATAAAAGCTTAACTATTGATATTAATTTGAGACCATGTTTTTATAATTCCAGTTTCTTAACCCTGGCATCAAGATGTGAAATTGTGAGAAGGAAAAAATTTAGATTTTTTTTTTATAAGTTATGTTTCAACATCCTAAGAGATGAGTGCAGTGGTATATACCTGAAATTTCAGCAACTTAGGAAGCTGAGGCAGGAGGATTGCAAGTTGAAGGAAAGCCTTAATAACTTAGGTTGATCATATCTTTAAAATTAAAAAAAAAAAAAAAAAAGGACTGAGGATGTTCCTCAGTTGTAAAGTAGTCCCTGGGTTCAATCCCCAATACCAGAAAAATAAGTAATTAAAACTTCGAAAGATAATTGAAAAAATGTGTTGAGATTTAATTGTCATAGATTGTTTTGTCACTCATAAGAAATTTAAATTATATGACAACTTTTCTTGATGTATTACAGTTTTTATGGGATATACCAATGCATTAAAATACAAAGAAAGTTTTCATTGTCCTTGTATTTGGCCCTCCACCACTCACCCCACTTTCCTCTCATTGTGAATACAGATGATTACCACCCCTATCAATATTTTAAATCCATAATACTCTGATGACTTCTTGCCAGGTGTGGTGGCAACTTGTTACTTGGGAGCCAAGGCAGAAGATTCACCATTTCAAAGCCAGCCTCAGCAGCTTAATGAGTCCCTGAGCAACTTAGTGAGACCCTGTCTCAAAATAAAAAGGCTGGGGATGTGGCTCAGTTGCCCTTATTTAACCTCCAGTGGGTAGTCTGATTAAACGCAGCATTCTGGCTACAGCTGTCCTTTATAGGCTTGCACCTATCTCGGCAGTCTCCTTTTGTGTCAGTTATACTCTCAAACTTACCCCCACTTCCCCTTTTCTTAAGTTACACACAGAACTCAAAATTTTTTAACTGTATATTTATTTATTCATGTGTGTTTGTGTGTGTGTGTATTTAAAACACCTTTGCTCTTGCTAGTCCAATGTTCTTCCCATCTTTCTCTGTTGTCAGCCTGGAAAAATTCTACTTACCTCTTAAGTGACAATACATGTGTCATTTTCCCTGTGAAGTCTTCTCTTGGAGAGGCAATGTTTATTACTTTACTTTTGACTCTTAAAGCATTGTGTTTATGTCTTTTTAAGAGCCCCTAACATTTAATTCATTTTCTGTTTCCCTTTCTGCTGATTGGAAGCTTCTAGAAGGTTGGATCATTATGGGTTATTTATCTTTTATTCTTAGCACCTACATACAGTTAATTTTAAATAAATCATACTGAATTGCTACTGATATTCATAAATAACCTTTATAAAGTATATCCTTTGTCTCAGGCACTATGCTTAATAATTCTAGGCATTATTTAATCCTTGTACTCACCTTGTGATTCAGAGATAGTTATTGCCCCATTTTACAAATTCGAAAATTGAAGTTAAAAGAGAGGCAAACTACAGTAACAAAACAAGCAAGTGATGAACTCAAAATTTGGATCCAGGGCATCTGGCTCTAGTTCATTGTCTTTAGGAATCGTTCATTTTCATTTATTCATTCTCTGGGAAGTACACCAGAAGATACATTCTCTATTGAGACCATTACTGAATGACTAAAGAAGAGATATAAAAGATATTTTGTCACCAAAATAAGCGAGCTCTCTCGAGAAATGCTTAAGAATCATTTGAACGATCTCATTTGGTCATAAAGACCCAAAGGAAGCAGCTGTGATTCTTGAGAGAATAATAAACATTTTTGCAAAAGAGTGAACAAGAAAAAGAAAGCTATTTTTTGGCTAAAGTTTGATATGGTTCATCAAATGCCAGAACTACTGTCTTACAGAGAAGACCAAAGTCTAGATTAATTCATTATCTTGCCCAAGGATGCATAGTTAATAAGTTTCAGAGCTCAGACTAGAATCCCAATTTCCTGAGTCCCACTTCTGTATCTTTTCTACCTTAGCATCCTATATATTAGAGTTTCTATGTTCATGTTTGGATAAAAAATGCTAGACCAAGGCAGAAATAAAGTCTTTGAAGGAAACAGCTTGATGCTTTTGGAGCTGATCAGCTTTTGCCTATGACCTGCTGCTATTTTGAGGCTCTCTGTTTGCTCAGAATCAAATATTACTGGTCATACAAATAAAAAGGCGAGGCCATTATTTAGGCCTCCTAGGTCTATGCATTCATCTCTCTGCTTGCAAGAGCAAATTATCAGTTCATTTCTCCTGGGCAGTTTTAATATAGGATCACATTAGCTCTTATCTTAGACCTTGGACATCTGTTGGTTTGTCTTTGTTACAATAAATGCACAATGTTTGCTTTCAGGTTGGGAAAAGAAAATCTAAATTGGTCTCTGCCAATAATGATTTCTAATACTTATTCTTTCTCTTGTCTTTCAGGGTGACGAGGAAGGACCCAGGTAAGATCACATTACTGTTGTTGTCTATTCTCAGAAACCAAGTAGAGTGACATTTGTGGCCTTTTAATGCCCCATGAAATATGGACAGCCAAGGAATGGCAAAGGGATCTCCATCTTCAGGCAGGGCTTTGAAGACCTTATTTTGTAAGACTCCTGTCTCTCTCCCCATCTGTGTCATTTCCTGCCTGTAACCTTCAGATAAAGGTAGATTCAAAAGTATGTGATGACAGTGACTTTCCTTTATTCTCTAGCACATTCAGAATATCTTTTAAGCGCAGGCACTACATTTGAATGGTTAGGTGGATCCACTAAATAAACTTTTGCTTGTTCTTTTTTGATTGGAATTTCTTTTTTGATTGGAATTGGATTGTTTTATTCTTTAAAATTCTTTATTCTAATAAAGAATACTGGATCTATAGCCAGTATTCTTTATTTCTGACCTATAACAATTTTATATCTTACCCAAGTCTCTGAATTCTAGGACACAGGTGTAAAAACTTTGTTTAGGGAAAAAAAAAATGCCATTGTTATTTCTGTATCCACAGTTGGATAAAATTTAAAAGTAGATTTCATGATTGACTCAGCCTTGCAGTAAACCTAGATGTTAGTTTACTTACCTTTTCTGTCATGTAAACAAACTAGGAAGTGCTACAGCTGTGCCATCAACACAATCTAGGGGTATTTGTACCACGTAAATTAACATAGGCTCAAGGACTTTTAAGGTTGAGAGCAGAAAGGTCATCTAGCTACTGCTATTTAAACTATTTTTAGCAGAAATGCCCTTTTTAAGAAAGACCTCAAGTTGTAGAACTATTTTTCTCTATTTAAAGTTAGGGCCACTTCCATTAGTGAACCTCTTTCTTCATCTCATCCTGAGGGACTTTTGCAGAGACTAGGGTTCCTCAGAACTCAGTTTGAAAATCACGTAGTTCAGTTCCCTCATTAAGAGAAGCTAAGCGAGTTGTCCAAGATTAAGTGACGTTAGCAAGGATATGACTTTTTAGTTTTATTTCAAATCAACAAATTCAATTCTTTATCTCTTTCTCTTATTCCTCCTCACGTCCTAAATCCTTTCTTAAAGTGCTGAATGTTATCCCACATCTGCATTTCCTAGTGTTTCCTTCCATTGGAAACTCTGGTTCTCAACCTCCACTCTAGTACTGCAAGAAACTATCTAGTGTCTTATCTGCTGTAGCTAAAGCCACAGGTACCCTGCTTTAAACCTACAGAGCCTCAGTGAGTCCCTTCTAAGTCTTCCAGCTATCCTAAGGAACATGTTCCTTCCGTGTTGTGGTTTCCTCACCTGCCTTCTGTTTATCTATTTAAAATATATTTGTGACCTTGTTATGGTCCAGGCCCTATAGACATATAAGGCAGATCCCTATTTGTGTGGATCCAGAGTTCAGAAAGGTGAGCATATAATAAGCACTTACACTGTCAGGGAAGTGATAAAGTACAGACTACTTGAGGAATGGCTCCTGGTCAATCTTGGAGGAAAAGGGGAAGCTTACCAGACATAAACAGAGGTCTGAATGATGAGAAAGCAGGCAAAGAAGGAGCATGGATCAGTTGTAGATAGAGAAAAACTTGTATAAAAGTTACAGACAAAGGAATAGAAGAAAGAAAGCAGAGCCCAGATCATTTAGGACTTCAGGATAAAGCCGGGTATTGGGCTTTATCCTGAAGTCAGTAGAAAGCCACTAAAGAATATTTTAAACAAAAATTAACTTGAGCAGGTTTGCATTTTAAAAGTCTACACTTCCTCCAGAATGGAAAACGAATTGGAGGTGGGTCAGGTACCTAGGAGACTGGTGTAGACTAGGTGTCTTAATTTAACATTTTGTGTTCTATAGCAATTTACCTAAGGCTAAGTACTTTATAAAGAAAAAATCTCAAGTTCTGGAGATTTAAGGACATCATCTGATTGGCTCTGGTGAGGGCCTCATAGTAGATGGCATCACAATGATGGGAGCATGTGTAGAAGAGATTCAGGGGAGGTGTCAAGCTCCTTTATAACAACCTATTTTCTGGGAACATATCTAGCTTTATAAGGCCTGCATTAATTTCTTCTAAGGGTGTGCCCCTGTAACCTAATCATCCTTCATTAGGCCCTCCCCCTTAATGTTTATACCACTTGTCAACATCACCACGCTGGGGACCAAGTGTCCAGCCCATGAACCATTGGAGGACTAATTACATCCAAACTACATCATTAAGCTACCAATGATGGGAACCTAAATCAGTATCTCTTCTGGTTATTGACAAGGTTTTTACCATTTTGCGTAGATGTATGGTTCTTCTTGGCATTCACCTCTTCTATTTTCAAGAATAGCTCTACCTCCTATTTTTTTTTTGTTGGGGGGAGGGGGTACCAGGGGCACTTAACCACTGAGTCACATCCCAGCCCTTTTTACTTTTTGTTTTGAGGTAGGATCTCACTGAATTGCTTAGGGTCTTGCTATGTTGCTGAGGCTGGCTTTAAACTTGTGATCCTTCTGCCTCAGTCTCCCAAGTCAGTGATATTGCAGGCGTGTACTTCTGTGTCCCGAATAGCTCTAGCTCCTTAAAATCTAGAAATCCAGGCCAAACATAGCTCTTCATCTTCTTTCCCCAGAAAGAGAGTTTAAACAAGACCACAATAGAGAAAATACTTCAGCAGAGGTAATGTACAGGCTCCACAGGATGCAAATGGCATTTTTGTTATGAGAGAACTTTCTTAGGCTGAACACATTCATCTTTCTGACCACATTGATTAAAAGAATACAAGGACCTTAAGAAGAGACTAACTCTCTTCAAAGATACTATTTAGTATGAAGTACTGACTCTGGAGTTTAATTGCAGATACCTTCGTGCCATTTTGACAAGGCAGTGGTGAGCCATAGAGTTTTATTACTAGCAACCAAAATGTCAAGCTGTCTTCCTTGAGCTGGGCTTCCATGGATGTCAGCAGGTTTCTTCTGGACTGGGACTTGACAAAACCCTTTTAGGATTTTGGTACATTGAGCTCTTGAAGAGCATGTTCCAGTTTACCAGAAAGAGGGAAGAGGAGTCAAATTTTGTTAGCCTTTAAATTTATACTTGTTGGTTCCATTCAGTTTATTTGTATTAACTATCATTTGGCTCAATTTATACCAATTAGCACTTCAGGGCAGATTGCCTTTCATATGAAATTTCTCATTTATGATATGTACTTTACCATTTCAACAAGACATACAGAATTTTATTCTAGCAACTTCTGTATTACTGACAGTTGATGCATAAGGGTAGCAGATAAGAAATGTGGGTCTCTCTTCACAGAAGATGGATGAAGAATGACTCTGGAGACCTTGAGTTCAGATTCTGCTTGGATTAGTATACCTGTGTGTCCTTTGCTGACATTATTTCCACCTCTTCTTACTCTCTACAGAGTAGAGGGAAAAATAGATTTCAGTCAGTCTTCAATCAGTGGAAGGAACAAAGGAATATTCCTGTCCTATGGAAATATATTTTCCTATAATAGATCTTCCTCCATTTCTGCCAGCTGGAGTCTCCTTGCCTTCTTTTGACTTCCTAAGCTATTTGATATGAGGTGAACAGATACTGGGCTTTTGGTCATGTCTGTTCCTGGCCCTGAGCATTATTGTATAGCTGTCCTGTTAATTAACAATTATTATCGTCATCACCATCATCATCATTTTAGCCACTACTTATTGAAAGTTTATTAAGTCTAAAGTACTTTTGTATATTCTCATTTAATCCTCATGTAAGGTTTATGATGCAGTTAACCCACTTGTCAAATTTGGAGAAATTAACTTGCCCTACTTCATAAGACCAGTAAGTAGCCAGAGGCAAGACCTGAATTAGTCTGGTTTCAGGGCTCATACACTCAACCACTCTTTGGACTATCTCCAAGAGACCAGCACACTTCTCTCTGATCCTGTATGAAAGCCAAGAGGATTCACACATAGTACTCAGAGGATCACTTTGGTCTGGTTCCTTTAATCTGTGAGTTTTTAACTTGTTCTGACATTGAATTGCTGTGGCTTCTTGTTTTTACAAGCGACTTCTCTCCTTATCCTCTACCATTATACAGGTGTATTTCTTTATCTCATCCTCACATAATATCCTCTGAGCTTCAGCAGCAAAAGAGGTCCTCTCTGTGGAGCAGCTAACCAAGCTTTCCTTTGACCCCATAGAACAGCTGCTGCCTGTTGCTCTTCATGTGATAATTTACTCTTCAAATCCATGACATACACTCATGTAGCTAGCAAAGATTTTCGGAGGGCTTGGAGGAGCAAAAGTCCTAATATGTAGAACATGGATATTAACTGCAGTGGAGTCATCTCAATAATAGGGTGTCTTTGAAGCCCAGAGTGATTTTTTTCCCTCAAGCAAAAAAGCAATTTACACTTTGGCAGCAATTTTTTGTCTTCTCTATGCTATTATGGGAGATCTTGTGTTTGCTCCCTCTACAGATTGGCTCCTTCCCTGCTCCAGCCAGAGCCTGCTGAGAAGTAATATATATTGGAGGAGAAGGGATGGCAGTATGATCTGCTGGTGGGAAAACAGTTGTGCAGAGGAAGGAAATCAGAGGGAAAGACCCTTAAACTCTTGTGCTCAGAGGAGAATGAGCAAGATCAGGATTAAATTTTGATTTGCTATTGAGATTTTCTATGATTTTTTTTTTTTAAACTAAGAGGAAAATGGCTTTTTAATAGTAACAGCCATTCTTGGAACTTCTGTAGAATTTTTCATCTTCAAACTTGGCTGTTATTCAGGCAAAATCTCCTGCTGAGATCAGTATGAATGTGACCCATGCTGATTCTGTGATCCAACAGGAAATGTATTCTGAAGAAGTAAGAGCCAGAGGAGTCAGCAAACCTGGCTTCTATTCTTGATTCTGCCACTGACTGACTGACTGACTGACTGACTAACTAACTGTGTGACCTTAGGCAAGTCGTTTAATTTTCATGTAAATTTAGCCTCATTTCTCCCACTCCCACTTCTTCCTCATTTGGGGA